AGACGTGTGCTCTTCCGATCTCCCCAAAACCCCAAAACCCCAAAACCCCAAGCAACTAAAATTTGTATTGATTGTAATTATGAAGCAGTTAAAATATTATTTGATAACTCAATGTTTAAAGATTTCCAACAAAGACCCAGTGTTCAATCTTTCCAATGCCATATGGTATATCCACTGCAGAAAAACATGATGAGCAATGATAACCCAATAATGAAGTAATCAATATACTTCTCTTTTTAAGATGGATTGCATAACTTTAAATGAAAGATGCAAGGTAGGGTGAACGAGATAGGAGTGCAAGTAAGTGATCCCAAAAGTGAAATAAATTTATCTACGGTATCCCCCAGTGAGATACAAAATACAATTGTGAACAAAATCAGAATTGATCTTGATAGATTTTTTAGCCATTGTCTTTTCTTTGATTTATCCATTTTTCCATATAAGTAACTTTCAATGATAATATTTGCTGGGTAGATTTAAAGGGGATAGGTGAAGAATAGATTGATCGAGAAGCATACCTTGATGATCCAAACTATGACCCCACTAGGTAAATTGGCAGTAATCAAGGGGTTTGAAATCAAATCTCCATAAACAAAGAGACAGAATTCTCCGAAGCCTACATAAAGCAACATAACAGTAAGTAGCACATAGAATAGAATTTTTGGATAGAGCTCAGGCTTTTCAGTTACCTCAAGTAAGGGTAATATAACTCCAATACCTTCGTATGAATATACTGAAGAACCAATCATTGTAAGCCATGTTGAAGTATTAAATATCTCATTATTTTCTCCCCAGCCATGCTTTGAAAGTTAAAGCAAAGCATAGATTAAGATGACTATCGTGGTAAGCAGAATAAGACCATCTGCTACTAAATGAGTCCAAGCAAATTTCTCAATTTTCCTGACTAAGCACAGTGGAACGTAAATAATAAAACATAATGCACCTATTACTGTAAAAATCTAAATTATTACCAAACCAAATGACGCTGACATCTGATCCATCCCCTTTGGCCTCATCATAAACACTCTTCAAACTAGTCGTAATGAAGTAGATATAAGCAGTCACAAAACCAATCTGCGATAAACTCAAGAATATGTCTACCATAATTTTGCCGGGTTTACCAATAGCTTTAAACCCAATGTCACTAAATGAACCATTTTCAGTTTTTGCCTTGGCTTAAAGCAACTTAATTGCACAGTATAAAGTCAGTACAAAGGATAAGACCATAGAAAGTAAAGCCCAAAGCCAACCTCCATTCCTGAAATTCTTTGGCAAGTACAATATTCCAGTGCAGACGAATCCTTTCAATAGTGAAAAGTAAGTTCCAATTGGAGTAAGTTTCTTAATTTTTTTAATCTGTATTTCCTCTATCATTTTCCTCTTAGTATGTGGAGTAGCACTAAAATGATATTGAATTTTCAAGTTACTTACTTCTACACCTCCTTTGGATAATTCGTTGTGTCAACATCATCCTCATCTCTAATATGCTCTCCAACTAAATAATAAATATCAATCATTGTGTTACATTATCTGAGAATTTAATACTTCTAAAGGTTAATATCATCTCTATACTCATCAAACTCTTCGACCTTTTCGTTTTTCTTTTCATTATTGAATCCTTATAAGTTCTTGATGACTTTCTCACTAGGGTTGCCTGCTCTTTCTTAATCCTCCTTATTTCCCGTATTAGATCCGATATCACTATGATTCAAACCATTTTCATGTTGTTAGTGCTATTAGTAAGTTATTTTGAATAAAAGTAAAGCAAAATAAAATAGTTTACTTACATCATGATCCTCTTCCAATAGTCCAACTCGATCCATTATTAATATTGTTTTCTAATATTATATCTGATTTATAATTACTATAATCATATTATATCGAGAATTTTAATATGAAGGGGTTTTGGGGTTTTGGGGTTTTGGGG